ATCAACGACCCGGTCGGGATTCGAACCCGGAGTTTTTTCCCTGAGCCCTCCGCCCTTTCCTTACGATCGACTCAGCGCTCACTGAAACCTGATTGGTTATGGTGTAACAACAGTAGTATCTGAAGTGTACTTATTAATATTAAGTGGTTTATAATTACTCCAAAACCATATTGCCCCGTCCCATGCTCCTAGGGGACCGCTTCAGCAGGCCACGGACATAAATTTTATGAACACGTACCGTAATGAATGCATATCGCGCTATTTGGCCTGTTAGATCCACCTCGCGCGCATCACGAGCGGCATTTCAGGAGCTGGCCTCCTTATATGCTACCGCATGAACATCATAATATGTTTGCACCCCGGATTATATCAAGTGATGCAATGTTCCTAACAAGAGGACGATGCAGTACGTCGTGAAATTCTTGCATTGGATGAATTGTACGTACGAAATGGTCCTTAAAATTAATCACTCTTGTTTTATTCCGAGGTTTATTCCGTGATCTTCTATTTGTTACACTTTAAATTGTATATGCGGAGCAACCATGTAAGAAACAAGAAGACCTTGGAATTAATTTAATTATCAATTTTAGTTCAAGTAGCAGGAAAGTAATTAAGGATATGAAGTATTGTTCAGTTAATTGTTTTTAAGCTATCCGTCGATTTCTTAATGAGGTGCGTAGTTTTTCATCATATGAGTTTTCAAGGTGTTTGTTCTGCTTCTATATCCAGTGTAAAACAGTTCGCTCGATGTTTCGAATGGCACTGATCTCCGTTCTTCAGGTGCCATAACTTGCTATTATGTGTTTATTCAGTGGTTATAATAACTGAACAATTAATTATTATTGACAGTAATTTGGTCACATGCATCTTCATAAGTAATTCTATAGGTAGCGGCTAATATATTTCGTACGTTACCTCCTAGCGACAACCCGGAATTCGACCCTGAGGAGGATGAGCCAACACTGGAAGCTGCTTGGCCTCATCTGCAGGTGATGCTTGGTGATCTTTCTCGCATCAGCTTCATTTCATATTTTTATGTTTGCAGTTGGTGTACGAATTTTTCTTGCGGTTCCTCGAGTCATCAGATTTCGTGCCGACCAGCGGAAAGCGGTACATCGACCAGCGGTTTGTACTTAAGGTACGTTTTTTTCATATATGCTATTCTTTTATCATGATTATGGTTATTTGTTTTTTCTTTTAGCTCTTAGAGCTGTTTGACTCTGAAGATCCTCGCGAACGAGAATGCTTGAAAACCGTGCTGCATCGTATATACGGGAAAATTCTTGGTCTCAGGGCTTTCATTAGACGTCAGATCAATAATATATTTTTGAAGTACGTACGAATGTGTGAGGCTCTGTTGCTTTTCTGAATTGAAACGAGGTGCTGAAAAACATAAAAAGTAAACAATCATGGATTCACGGAATAATGGTAAATTGAATAAATTCAGCCTTGTTCCTTATTTTGCCGAGTCTGTCGGATCATGGGTTTTCTCCCTTTAACTTTTTGCATGAATATAGTCATATCCTATCTGTCATTCGCAACAGGGACTCGTTGCCCGTTTCTCGGAGAGGGGCGGTGTAAATTCCTTGCTCAAGGAAATCTGTTTTTAGGGCAAAGTTAATCCCTTCTGTGCATGCGAACTCGACGCACTAATCGTTCGACGCCAGCCATTTTGTCATTTTGCCACATCGCTTTAATTTGCAAGGTTTTTACTCATGGGCGGCGAGGATCATTTAAAATAGAGTTTCCTGATTTATAATAGATCTCAATCTGATTCAACGTGATGCTTGAGAACTTTATATGGGACAGCTGATCCCATCCCTTGGCAAGTTCTCCTGGCATGTTTCAGAAGTGACTGAAATTGTACGACGTAGATGCACTAATTACGCACTTCAGGGAAAGAGGTTTATGAAGAGTAGGCCATTATTTATAAAATGCAAGCTCTGCGAAGCAGTGCCTCAATTTCGTTTAGGGTTGGTAAACAGTTCAGGCGTTTCCACAAATGGCTGCATCACCACTTCATTGAAGACCTTTTCTGCATGTGTACAGAATTGTAGACTCGTCTGTAGTGACACCAAGGTATTTAGTGATGAGGGACAACTATCGTGTATGGAAGGTATTTCAAGTTAGACAAATTTGCATTCTTTTAGCGCTTTATTTTTTTGCTGACATTGTGTCATTACTGATAGTGTTATTTAGGTTCATCTACGAAACCGAAAATTTCAATGGTGTGGGCGAACTGTTGGAAATCTTAGGCAGGTATGAATACAGATGTCTTTCTTTTGTAGATCGTTTTAAATTTCAAACAATAATGTTGATATGGCAAAGTTTTGGAGTCGATAAAGATCATCGTCTCGGTAAATGTTTCTCCCTAAGTGTTCGCATAGTTAATCACTAAAAATAAATACTATACTAGCCTCTTGACCGAGTTCAGTTTCAATTTGCGGTGTCAGCTCAGGTAATTATCCCATGCGCATGAAACCGTTCTGTTGCTCAGCATCATACTCAATCATCAGACTCATGATTGCCACCGTCGTCACGTTACCATTTGCTGTCGTATCGTTAACGTCGTTGTAATCCTGATTGCTGTTGTAATCAGAGCCATCACTTTCCACTGGTTTTGCTTTGGTGTTTCTCGTCTGTACCTTCGAATAAACATAAAGCGATCACCTTGTTTATCTATCTGATTTTGTTGATGAGCAGCTTCTTGACTTTAGTTTTATTTTTTGTACCTGACCAAAAAACCAGCAAAAAGACACCCATGCGACGATATACGGGAAATTATGAAACGGGAGGAGTTGCAGTTGAATATGATTTACAGACTTTCTTTAGTAATTCGTTATGTTATGTGATCCCCACGTGGACTACCAACTTAAGCATTTTTGCCTTCAGTTTACCTTTTGTTTGTCATAATCTACCTTTGAACTGAGTCTCTACATATTAATTCATTTAGAAATTTCATTTAGTGTCATTTAGCGTACGATTATTGAGCACAAATTAATAATGAAAACAGAAGATACCGTAATTACAGGTAACACTGAATAGAGTTGGAGCACTGTAACGAAGTATTTTAACATGAGCAAAGAAATTTATCGACATAAGCGATGAAAGAAGAAAAAGCTTGACACAAGGAAGGTATTTCAAAAAATCTTTAACGTATAACTCATTCTTTGTACGGTTTGAACCAAATACTTTAAAGTCACGGAAATTTTATGCCGTAGCAACACCACTGCCTATCTCATCATAAGCGAATTCACCTTCGTTAAAACATTTGGCATTGCCTGTGTAAATGATGAATTAAGTTTCAGAGATAACAAATAAATAATGATGCACGGCGAAAATGTACCGTGTGAATAAAAAAAATATTTTTTATGGAAGTCTTACTCAAGGATGTGCCGCAATGAGCTTCAGAGATCTTTCACATTCTCCTGCTAAATAATTTAGTTTTTATTATATAAGCTCCTTTCATTTATTTTGCTTTTCCTTTTTACCTGTTTCTGCATTTTTTATCCTTTTCATCTTTCATGTTTTTGTGCTTCTGTATGATAGATAATGTTTTAATTATTTACCCACTGATCGTTGTCTCGGTTTCTGCAATAATTCCACTGCACATCATTAACTTTTACTGACGATTTCGCTTAATAAATATATTCTTTCCACCCTTCTAACCGTATTTTTCTTTTTCTGTTATCATTAAAAGCTTGTTTATGTCTTTTCAAATTAGCGTTAGTATCCATGGAATTTCTTATCCATAGAAATAAAATGGAGCATGTTTATGAAGCAAAGTTTCAGATTAGAGATTACTAGCTAGTTATTTACTGGTTAATGAAATTCATATCTGAATTCTAATGTAAGTTACAAAATTTAAAGCAGTTAAGTAAAGGAGGTTAAGTAAACAACTTTGCAAAGCCCGAAACAAGCAGCAGCAACGGAAATGAATGAACAAACGGACATGTGCTTGTAAAAGCACATCGCTCAGATAGACTCTATTGGTAAAAAAAATTCTACGGCGCTTGAGTAAAACTTAATTACTTTAATATTACCTCTTTATTTTACCAGTGCCTGTACTTTATTATAACTCTAACATTCGATTACCGTTATTGTTGTTACACTTTTATTGCTATGTCTATTCTGAAAGTAAACGCGGAATCTGCTCTTGTTGCCGCTGTCGTTTCAATTTCGTTTTTCTGTTTTGCAGCATTATCAACGGCTTCGCTTTACCCCTGAAGAACGAACATAAAGTGTTTCTCGTGAAAGTTCTTCTTCCGTTACACAAGCCTAAATGTCTCAGTCTCTACCATGCTCAGGTACGCATTTTGGAGTGTTGTTTAAAGTAGCTCATAACTTTAAATTCGTTACTGTATTTTTCTACAGTACGTTTAAACCTGGTATACATGCAGCCTTCTCTCTGTCGATATGTGAATATAGTAATCTATTCTCGTCAATGAGCGATCTTAGAATGATGATGTATACTACCGTATTTTGTCTGTTGAAAATATGGATTCATAAACCAGAGTTGTTTAGCAAAAGTTTAACTCCCGTAAAGCCACAGTTCAGGGTGTAATGCACCGTTCTCTTGTTGCTGGTTGCTTTGGAGGAATTGAAGCAAATATCTGCGCAACATTCTTTGAGTATGAGCAATCTTTGTCTCACTCCGCCTGATTTAGTCTTCTGATTAAAGCAGTACCTTCCTCGTCGCCAACAGTGCATCAGAAATTGGTCCCTTTTGTAGGCGCGTCACGAACGTAGATTGGCGCTCTTTCGATTTCCTTTCGTCTTGAGCATTTTCTGGCGAGTTGTTCTGCAGTCCGTTCAGGGTGCCAGTCCCCGCGAACCATCGCCACTGCCTCCTCACCCTTTCTTCACCCTTACGGTTCAGAGAAATTTGATTGCGGAAAGTATCATAGAAGAATGCTGG